GATGATGAGCATGACATTCAGAGATAATGAACTTTCCCTACGTTCCACAGTTGTCTGATGGAAAAGCCAGAACTTACTAATTTCATTCCAATCTTTTAGAAATTCTACATCTATATTCTTGGCAAAACTATAAGTTTTCTAAGGTTCCAGGAGATAACTTTTGGAGATCTGTTCTTGAACTCTCTTGAAATATAACACATTTTCCTCAGATGTATGGAGTGATGTACATCATCAGTCCTCGTTGGAAATATTCCTAGATTACAATGAAGAGAGATTTACATCTGAGGAAAAACAAAAGCTGATTCTAAGAAAAGCTCAAATATTTTCCCCTCTGCCAGGATACAAGAGAGTCAGTTGCATCAATGCAGGATAAACAAAATGCTCATCAATGTGATTGTCAATTATAAGTGGGGGAGGGGTTAAGAATGAGAGAGGAAGATGACAAGATGACCCACAGTGTGCTCAAAGCAGCACATGCTGTCTAGACCAAGACTCTTTTAGATGTCTGTTTTGAAAAGTTTGCCATCATTACGCTGGGTTTTTCAGCCCAACCACTAAACCATTAACAATTACTTACTTAGAATAAGCAAAACACCTTCCTCTAAATTGGATCTGCTTCTCAAAGTTCAAGTGATATAATTTATAATATCAGAACTTCTTACCATCAGGTGAATGAACACATAAGACCCACATAACTTTCAGCATTAAGCATATTAATACATCACCAACATCAACAACAACTCCACCTCAACTCCACCACCCCCACCTCCACCCCTACATCAATCATCATCACCACCACCGCCTCTGTCACCACCTTCATCTCTACCTCTACCACCACTACTACCAACCCAGCACCTCTGTACATGCTAGACAAGTTTTCTAACACTGAGTTGTGCATCCAGCCCTAACTCCATCACCCCGTGCTACTAAATATTTTGTGTTACAAGGATGATTCTGCAAAGTCCATGTGCTGTCTTTATAGACAGTTCTGAAATAGCCCAGCCTGTAGTTTGTAGTCTTGGCTCCATTTAAGGAGTATGAAGTCAAACAAGGTACTCGTTACTATTCACCTAGACTTGTTTCTTGAACACCCCTACTGTTTTCCTCTTTTTATGGACAGAGGCGAGGGCCATGTGCACAGACCAAGTATATTCATCTTCACCTTTCTGAACATTTGACCATGGAACTGGATCTAGGTGTTCTTTGTGCTGTTGGCTTCCCTCTCTGGCATGCTGCCTGGGCAGCAGGAGCCAGCCAGTGGCTGACCCAGCTTTATGGCCCCATTACTGAAAGGTGGAAGATACTATAGGTAACTAAATGTAGAGAAGATTTTTTTTTTATGGACAACTGCTCAGAGCTACAATTCTCAATAATAGGATGAAAGTTTAAATTACTTTAAGACTCGCTATGTAGTTGTTTTGCCCCAAGCAACTTGGACAATAAAGAATATTGAATTGAAGACTGTGGAGATAGCCAATGAAATCCCAGGAATAGAAATTCAGGTCCAGCAACCACATCCAGCTGGTAAAGGTGCCAGGACCTTCTCCCTAGCCTCACTCTCACTCTCTCTAAGTGAACACTTTCTGTCTCACCCTTCAGATCTGTGTTTCCTACATAGTTAGTTGTCAAAAGCTCCCAAGTTCCACGTTTTGCCACTGAAGGAGGACTAGCTTGCTGTTTTCAAAGTTCCATGTCCTAAGCAAGATGCATTAATAGACACAACTCATTTCGTGCAACAGGATTAGCCCTGAGGACACTGCTCTAAGATTAAGCTGGTTATAGGTCCATGTAAGGCACATACAGTGTAGGTATATAGTATACTCCCATGTGAGCAGGTAAGGATTATTCTTTTGTTCACTTGAGATAAAGTCTCTGGCCTCAAATTTGCAATCTCCCACTTCAGATTCCTCACTGATGAGATAGCAAATCGCTATGATGCTTCATCTCTTCCCATGACCCCAAGGAGAGATGACAATGGAGGGAATGAAACAATCTCTGGATAGACTTTGAGCTCTTGAGGATTCCTTGAATGTGAAAAGGACTATGCAGGACCATGAGAAAGCCCCAGTGTCTGGCTTCATTGCTGGTGAAAGGTGTTGCTACCTGTGTACATATTCTAGAGGTATGGGGTTCCTCGTGTGCACTCCCTGTTCCTGGTTCATGTCATCTCCGGAAGAGATGAAGTCCATCGTCTTCACATCCATGTTCCTTCTAGCTGGAACATCTAGTTTTAATTGAAGGTTTATTAGAGAGACATGTGAGAGAATTCTCATTCATTAGGGCTAAAGGTAACTTGATCAATCAGCCTGCATTGGCTGGAATGTGTCTAAATATTCATAACATTACATATGCATATAGGCCTATATCAGACTATATGTTTGAATTAGGATTATTGAGTTTTACTTTAATTTTTAAGACCAAAGAATACATATATCAATTCTACATACAGCTAAGGAACAGGATTTGATGATTTAACTATAGGAGAAATAATCTCACACAGAATGGGTGAGGCTGGTGCTATTCCTGCCTAAAATTCACCTTTTTTGGAGGTGTAGCCTATGATAGAACAGGCATCTAGATTATCACCTCATAAAACAGCATGAGGTTACTGTTAGTTCTTAATTTTATATCTTTATTATATGCAATTCTTTTCTTACTTGATTTGAGGAATGTTCTCATCTTTTTCTCCTACATTTGTAAAAACAAAATATTAAAGGATTTAGCATAACAACCATTGGCAAATTATGATGTAAAATAATACTCTGCCTGCAATTAGCCAAGGGAGTTTAGCATGTTTCAATAATATAAAATCATTGGACTCATAATATTTTAGGACCTGAGTTTGGCAAAGAACAAAAATTATGTTAGCATTAAAACTCAAGCAAAGTAACAATTAATTTAAATTTCAAGGAAATATAAAGGAAAGCATTGTGCCATGACATGGAACATTGACAGGAATAACTCCCCAGTTAAACATTAGGTAGATTCTAAACTGGTGGTTAGACAGAAAACGGGCAGTTTTTGTTTAATTCTCTTATGCACCAGTCTCTGTCCTGAAGTATTAGCTGTAATTTTGCTCAAGGTGGTAATAGCAACTGAAATAGTGGTCCTCTGGAAGATGGTTGCTTCTTTACTGATGATACTACACTCAATTTATTCTGCACATTGCCCTTCTAGGTATATAACCTTTAAGCATCGTGAGCACATATTTAAAGTAATTTCATATGCTAATTGAACATGTGTTATGGTGAATTTTTGTGCCTAAATATGTGCTTATATCCCAAGCCTGAAACTTGTAAATGTTACATTTTTTTAGAGTTAGAGTCTTCATAGATGTAGTCAAGTGGAGATGTACTCTTACTGTATTTGAGTGGGTCCTGATCGTATGACTAGTGTACATGTAGAGGAGAATTTGGATGTACACGTAAACACATATAAGTGGTAATGAGGTAGACACTAGATTGATGCATCTATAAACCATAAAATTCTAAGAAACACTGAAACTATCAGAAGCCAAGGCAGGGGAGTGTGTGTGTAGGGGGTGGTTGGTTTTTTTTCTTACAGCTTCCAGAGGGACCATAGGCCTGCCAGTGTCTTGGTTTAGGACTTTTGGTACATAGACTATTTCAGAATAAATTGCTGCTCTAAGTTACCCAACTCTTAGAAATCTGACACAATAGACTTGTTTGGAAGTAAATGCAATAAACTGTCATCAGTGATAATTTTCCTAGGAGTAATTCTTATAAATGGGTCAGATGACTAGGGAATTATCTGCTAATTTTCAGCACTGAGTTTTATGAATAGTTAAAACATTCCACTTAGTGAATAGTGGGTTTTCTTTTAATGTTTCTGTTTCACTGTCCTAATGCAAATCAAGATTCCCAGGTGAAACAGAGTCTTCCCCAAACAGCCATGTATATGAGACTAAATGTTCAGCACCAACTGTTTCTTCTTATTCTTTCATGGTATCATCAGGGACCTCCTGAGGGTTACATTTGTCATTGATCTAGTCAACATATGAAGCAGAGCTAGACAAACTAGATGCTCTGGATAACTCATGGGAAAAGAGACCTCATCTTCCCTTATAGAAATTACACTGGTGTCAAAAGTTAATGTTAGAATAAGCCACAGAGGCCTTGAAGAGTCTATAAAATTCAGTTTTCACTCCGTGCTGTAGTTAAACTCACCCTTATAAAACCATTGATATTTTAGCATTACTCAGCCTTGCATATTTACTCAAGAGAAGAAAGATGAGGATTTGGGGAGGATATTGCTATTATCATGAAATCTTCCTGTATTTGGAACCTAAAGGTATAGTTCTGCTTGGCCAGGATAAAAGTATTGTATGGTGTAAAGATTAACTTTATCCTATGAGTAATTAACTGGTTGTACCACTGTACTTTATTGAAGATGTATCTCCTCTTATTTATCTGTCTTAAGGTAATTAGTTTTCCCATCTCTTAAAAACTGTGTATTTTAAAACATAATTTTTTTTATGGTTTTCAGGATCAACCCTAGGGCCTTATGCATGTGACACCCACTTTCATTGCCAGCTTCAATACCATGCTCATTAAAAAAGATAGTTTAGACACACTTTCTTATCCTAAAAGCATCACTAATAAAACATTGTATTTTCCCAGTTTATATTAAACAGCAGTGATTTGTGTGGTTCTCATTATTTTTGTCTAAGCAAAATGGTGTATTTGTTGTTTTCTGAAGCCCATGGCTTCAAGTTGACCTCACATATTTTTCTTTAACTCAAAGATTCCTGAGAGGCTATTCACATATACCAACTCTACCACGATATTCTCTTTTACAAAATAATTATTTATGTAAGGCATGGAAATAGAATTAATGACTAATTTCTTTCTTCAGAAAGTTCATCTACCTCCTACACACTGCCAACTATTTTGCTAAATCTTTATGTGCTTAGATGAGTCTAAAAATGAATAAAAAATAATCTTTTGCCTTTTTTTCTATCTCCACCTCTTTTGTTTTAGATAGTCAGTTTTGAATCCAAGGAAGCTACTTCTGCGTGGGAGTGGCAAGAGAAGTTAGAGAACCACATGGAAGACACCCAGGACCTAAATGAGCAATCCGTAAGTCTTGAGTTAACCTCGGTTCTGCTTTAAAAAAGAGATGGGACGACTACTCAAAACTTTCTTATAAAGGAACCTATTGTCAGAAGTAAAGGTTTGGGTTAAATATATTTTGTTTATTTTCAAATACTCTTGCAAGGCCATGAAATGGGCCTTTGGCAATGTGCATTGTTCCTGCTTAATGATGATGTCACACTTTGATGTCTCCCTTGATGCTCCACTTGGAGAGTCTGAGTTTGAAAGACTAGGGTGTTGAAATCATGCTGTGTGTTTAGACAGTCTGAGCAATTTTATGTACTTCCTTTGCTATGTTTTGTTCCAAAAATGCTGGATGGCTTATGTATTGCTGGCTGTTGATATTATTAGCATGTTAATTGCTCATCTCATGGATGAAAACCACAGTACTCAAGGGCTTTCCTTATTTTACTGGATTTATCAAGGGAACAAGAAAGTGGCAGCTTGGTAACAATCCTATTAAGATTCTGTCTTCCTGTAGGGAGAGGCCTGATGGCTTCTCCCTTTGCCTCACTAGTAGGGTCTCAAAGACATTAATTCATTATTGCATCCCACTAGGGGCATAGACTGCTGGCAACTGTCTCTGTAGTTTTTCTGCGCATAGGCAACTGGTTCGATCACAGTGAAAACGACATGCATATCACCATGAATGTGTTCCACAGACTATTCTTCCTTAGCTTGTGCAATCATGATTGACCTTAAAGTCTAAGGTTTCTCAGGACAGCTGAGGACAAGATGCTCACATATAACAATGTAACTATAGAATGGACATACAAAATGAATTTAATTTTAAAATAAAATATAATGTATGTTTTGGTGAAAAGCCTCTATTCTAAACTGATTTAATTTGTTTGCTGCCAGATAATTAAAATACATCGATGTTTTAAATTTTGTACCTAGAGGTCACCTTAGTACAATTTCATTAAATAATTATAGCATTACTCATTTCCGACAGCACCAACACAACAACGACCTGGTGAGCAATTGCAAGGGTTTAAAGTTTGTGATCAATCAGTAGAAGGTTGGAAATTGTCTTGACTTTGTAGACAAACTGTGAGTGACAGGCAAGGGTTTTGAAACAGCCTCCAAAAGTGCTGGTTACTGAATTTGAATACTTGGGGCTAGAACTTTGGCACGTAGGTTCTAGTTATCATGATGACTATGTCTGTCCAACATGTCTTTGTGGGTCTGTAGTTCTTGCTGGAATGAGATGTCTGTAAGTGTGGCTCTGTGACTGAAGGTTAACTGTGAATGATTATGTCACCTTAGATCTCTAATGTGTAGTTTATCTTAATATCCTGAGAAGCACTTAAATTGTGTGCATGCATCTGTCTGTGTACGTGAGTGTGTGAGTGTGTGAGTGTGTGTGTGTTAGATGACCCAAAGTCCACATATTTTCAGATGCTGAGGAGTTGGAGTTTGGGGATCCAGAAAAGTGCTAAAGAGAAAGAGTCCTGAAAAGCAGGATAGTTGAATTATCAGTTACTCTAGGTAATGTATGCACATGAGAAAGATTATCTACTTTATTTTCTAATATATCTTAAATTAAAAATTACACTATGATTATATCATTTTCCACATCCATTTCTATCCTCCAACCCCTTCCATGTACTCCTTATACTGTCTAAAACTCATGGCAGTTTTTATTTAATTGTTGATATGTATGCCATATGTATAATATTATATATATTCCTAAATATCTGCCTCAATAAGGTTGAAGTTAAGAAAACATATACCTACACTTACCATAAGGCTAAGGTCATCTTTGACCAAACAATGCCTAGAATTTGCCAATTGTGTCTATAATATCACTCGTTTCCTTTCAGAGAGATATTTCAGGGTTGATAATTTTTAAATGTTTTAAAAAGTTCTCAGTGATACTGTGCAGCCAAGTGTAAGAATGGAATATCTCGAGTGACATCTGTAGCTTGGCATGAGTATGAGCTTAAATTCCTCTGCACATGTAGACCAGCCTATTCATCTCAAATGCACAGACAGATACAGAACAATGGTATGGACTTCTCTTGTTGTTGTGTTTGGATGCTGTAAACTTGAAACTTCTGAATGATCTTTCTCCAAGCTCATGGCTTTTTGTCTCACTCCACTATGTCTGACAATGAGACAGTTTATATTGGGTCATCCATCATTATGGGCAAGTCAAAAAAAGCCCTAAGACTCAGCCTCTTTAAAATAAAATAATTTATATTTGAAGTAAATCATTAAATAACTTTAAGTCTTGTGGGATGTATTAATTTCTCAATACCTTTTGAAAAATATTCTATATTTTAAAAATATAGAATAAACAGGATGCAGGATGAAATTCCAGTTCATACAGTGAAAATGTTAGGGCATGGATACCATAGTAAGTATCATCTATGATGCATGCATGCTTCATCCAGCACTCTGCAGATATTCTTCTCTATCTTCACCATGTCCATGCAATATAAATCTAAAGGCCACCATTATACAGAGAAATGCATTGCACAGACAATGTCAAGGTCAAATAGTAGTTAAGAACCCAAATTCAGAATTATACATACTTTCATCTTGCCTTAACATATTTAATCAAATTTTTTCATGTTACAGCATATTGGCAGTTAAAGGCTTGCTCTGTAGGGTCAATTACTGGTAAGTACTTCATAAACACTGAGCAATCCCTTAGACTCATTTACGTGTGTAGAGTAGAGAGGACGATAAAAACATGTTGCATGATGTGTTGGTGTGTGCTCCTTTGAGTATTCACTAAGTTGGTTCTAGCCAACTTGAGGGTCTTGGAAGATGGCTCAGTCAATGAAATGTCTACTGAGTTCAGATTCCTAGAACACAAACAAAAAGCATCCAGTGTTGAGGATGCAGAGTTAGGCTGATCTGTGGCACACACTGGCCAGCCAATCTAGCCATTTAGTGAGCTCTACACTCTCTGAGAGTCTGTCTCAAAGGATGATAGAGAACAGGAGGGCAAGACATCCATAGACACATTCTAGACTCTATAGATGCACCCACAGGTATGGAGAGAAAGAGAGAGGATGGGGAGGGGAGGGGAGGGGAGGGGAGGGGAGGGG